TCAAGTATATTTATTTCAAATAAGAAGTACAATTGAGAATTAGGATGCATTTAAAATATGTAATAATTTTGAAATAAAAAATCAATCGGAATCTCCGCCTTCGGTAGTTGTTTCCTCCATAAAGTGGCGGGTGGGAGCGATGGTCATTTCTTGAGTTCTTTGTTTGGCCTTCAACCAATCATGGAAGCAAACTAGCGTCTCAAGAGAGCTCGGGCTCAACCTCGTTCTATAATCAATTAGGACATTGCCGGCCGCACTAAATTCTTGTTCCACGGCAACTGTTGATATCGGCATTGCTAGCACTTGCTTAGCCAGTTTTGATAAAACCGGGAACGTTCTTTCATTGTCCTTCCACCACTTAAGAACGTCAAAATCATCCCCAACTTCATAATCAACATTCAATGTTAGATACAAAGAAAGCTCGTTAACTGAGCTTTGTTCAGTAGCGGGAGTTGCTCTACTTTTTTTCATAAGAGAACCAAATGCAGATTTTAAAAGTGATTTTCCTTTAGATGAAGAAGATGTTCGCGGCATGGGAGGGGGTGCATTACCATATTGTGCATAAAATTCATTATACAATTGATGAAATAAATTACTAACCTCGTTGTATTCTTGTTTAGGGTCGATGGGATTATCATCGAACTCTTGAGTTGGAAAAAAACAATTATAATAGTAATCTATACAAGTTGGCAACGCGGCAACTCTATAACGAGGATCAAGAACAAATGCAATACCATATATATGCGGAACATGTGAATAATATTTTAAAAATTTTTGTTTCATGAAATCACAAAAATAACTAACGTAAGCGGCATCGGAAAATTCTAAAAATGTGCCGGCGAGATTAATAGCTTCAACAAAAAATTCGTTTGCGGTAGGTTTATAAACATGACTAAAAGTTTGAGTTGCGTTATTAAAATATACCAAAACATTAACAATTTTTTCACAAGTGTCGATGTCAGCCGGGTTTATAATATAGTTACAAGTTTGCCTTAAAAAAGCAGGAAAATGATCTTTATATCTAATAAGTACTTGAATTAAGTTATAAGTACTATTCCAACGAATAGACAAATCTTTAGGAAAAGCACAATAATTGACACGTCTTTCCTTCAAATATTGCCGCCATTGCATTTTTAGTGGAGTGTTAGCCCAAATCAATTTAATTCCCCCCTTCACTACTTCCAAAGCATTTCCTAATGCCGCTAACCCATCTTGTACACACAACTTTAGAATATGACATGCACAACGTTGATGAAAAAACCTACCCATCAATGTAGAAGCACCACACAATTCACGCAATCTAGGTATAGCAGCAGTATTATTACTAGCATTATCAAAACCTACAGCAAACACCTTATCAAGCAAATTATACTCAATTAAAATACGCTCAATGAGAATATAAATATTATCAGCAGTATGACGATCATTGAATTCACGAAAAGCAAGAACACGTTTATGCATATTCCAATCATCATCAATATAATGTGCAGTAAGACCCAAATAATATAAATGATGATAAGTATCCTCCCATATATCGCTACAAATACTAACACGTCCATTAAAGTTTGCGAAAAATGTTTGTAAATTTTCTTTTTCGAAGTTATATTGCCTTATAACTTCTTTTTTAATCGTTTTGCGACTATAATTTCTAAATTGAGGATTTAAAGTGCCTTGAGCATAATCTCTTAAAGCAAGACTTTCAGAAAAAATATAGGGTAAATTTTCTTCAACAATTAAATGAGACATACCAGTCAAATGTTTTTGATCATCATAGGAGAAATTACCAAAGGGTTGAGAATTTGCAAACCTCGATATTTGTGTTTGCTTCCCCTTGCCCTTGTCTATTTTCGCATACTCCACAAGATGGGCGGACTTAAGATGCCTTGTGAGACTCCCGTATCCGCCAGAAGTTCCCAAGCTATACTCTTTGCCGCAATGATTGCAACTTGCGTACCATTTTTCGGTATTTTTGTCTTTCCTTTTTGTAAAATTGTTTTCAATAATAGGAGATTTAGATTTCTTACCAGTTTGGGTTGAACCGCCCTCGTCCTCCAAGTCTTGCTCATCATCCGGGGTGCCGTGAGTCCCGTCGCCCCCCGCGTCCTCATCCGCATCGTCATCCTCGAGCTCCTCTTCATCAATGGTTGTCGGGATGGGTTGTTCTTGTGCAAAGCGTGGATCGTTTTGGGACAATAGGTTTTGTAGATGCTCGTCGGACATCATCATATCATCTCTCCGTTGGTAATCCGTTTCAAAATCATCTCGACTTTGAAAAGAAGACTCGGCCCGCGCTTTACCTTTGCCTTTGCGTGAAGTAGGACGAGTCGACGCAATCTCCCTCTTGCGGTTGCGTTGGAGATTACCCACATCTACAGAATGTCTACCACGTTCCATCTTTAAACTTGAACAAATATTAAATGATATCAAATATTTTATATGAGTACAATAGTAATAATAAAATGTGACTAAGAAAACTATTGCAAATTCGAACTAAAATATGAGTATAAAAATCGAACTACTTCAAATTAATACTTTAATGAGAAATGTATCAATTAACTAAATATTAACTAGTTTGACTAATATAAATATGAGAAATGTAAAAATTAACTAGTTTTTTTTTTTACTTTAATGAGCAATGTACAAATTAACTAATATTAATATGAGAAATGTAACAATTAGGTAGTTTAACTAATATTAATATGACAAATTTAACAATTAACTACTTTAGGTAGTTTTGAAAATGACAAATGTAAAAATTTACTAGTTATTTTTACCTTAATGAGAAATGTATACTTTAACTAATATTAATATGACAAATGTAAAAATGTACTACTTTTTTTACTTTAATGAGAAATGTAGCAAGTAACTAATATTAATATGAAAAATGTACCAATTAAGTAGTTTAACTAATATTATTATGACAAATGTAAAACTTAACTAGTTTTTTTTTACTTTAATGAGCAATGTATGAAATAACTAATTTTAATATGACAAATGAAACAATTAAGTACTTTAACTAATTGAAATATGACAAATGTAAAAATATACTACTTTAACTATTTTTTTCTTTAAAGAGAAATGTAGAGAAATGTAGAGAAATGTAACAATTAACCAATTTAATAGATAAATTAGAAGTCTAACAATTAACTACTATTATAAGTAATATATAATATAATGTTTATAGTATATAATATATAAGTATATTACTATAAGATGAGTAATACACTTATACTTAATACTTTAATATATATATATATATATATATATATATATAAGTATATATTAACTAAATGTAATATGTAAATATAAGTAAATAACAATAGTATGGATAATAACTAAATATCAAGTGAATATGAATGTGTATAGTATATATATACTTATATAGTATATATAATGTGTAAAGAATTATAATATGAATGTGTATAAGTATATATTTATAAATAGATAATTAATATATAAGTAGATATAATAATTATATAAATTATATATATGTAGAAAGAATTTGGAGAAGATGAAGAATGAAGATGATTGAATATGAGAGATTTAGAGTAGAGAATTAGAGAGTAGGAAGAGTTGTAGAAGAAGAAGTGTAAAAAATGTAGAGAAAATAAGAGTTTAAATAGATTTTTTTTATACCCCACCCCCACCCCCCTAACCCCCCAGACCCCCCCCTCCTATGCTCCCAACGGCTATAGAGCCGTTTGGGAGCCTTCCCAACGGCTAGGAGCCTCTTTAAAAATTTGGCCGTTGGAGGCCCGAACCGGGCCCGGCCCGGCCGGGCCGGTTCCCTAAAATGGAGGCCCGGCCCGGACCGCTATACCACCGGGCCGGGTGGCCCGAACCGGTTAAGAACCGGGTGACCGGGCCGGTCCGGGCCCGCACAGTAGCGGGCCGGTCCGGGCCCGCACAGTAGCGGGCCGGTCCGGGCCCGCACAGTAGCGGGCCGGTCCGGTTCTGGGCCGGTTGGCCCGGCCCGAGTCCACCCCTAGTCACAGTCCCCTCGTCGAGAATCTGTCTTGGGAAACATTTGTTGCTTTTGTCTCAGATATTCTGCGTGTGACTTTCCTTGTTCATGCTGAATATATGACGCCGTAGAAAACAAAATAAAGATATGCATTTGATAGTAAAATTTATGGAAAAAATATTAGTTATACAATTACAGTTGTCACTCGTCACTTTGCAACAGGTACACAAAATGACAAAATTGTAGTAGAAAGAGAAAATTGGTCTGAAGAAGTGTGAGATCAAAGGCTAGTCAAGTGCTCAACTTTTAAAAAAAGTTCAGCTGGCCATGTGACCTAAACTCATTGCTGATTTCATGGATCTTTGGTCACATATAAATAGAGTATTTTATTGAATGGGAATTGAGTATTTGAACCAAATTTGGTTCAAGACTATTATTTACTGTCACTCTTGTTTGAGTGAACATGAATTTTCTGGATTTAATTTTGAGTAAGACACTACTTTAGGGAACATCCGAGTATGAAATTTTTGAAGATTATTCCTTTTAGAAATAATTTTAACATCTTCACCTAGCCTAACATCTAATCAAATACTAGTAACATTTTAGAGGCAAAATGGACTATACCTAATAATTTTAACATCTTCACCAGTCCACCCCCATTCACCCTATTGTATTAAACTTAGGTTTACTTAAGTTTACCCGGTATACCTAATATTCACTCCATCCAAAATGGCCATTAAATTTTGATCTGGGCCCTTTCATGTGGTGGACACTTGACCAACTTGGGACAAACTCATTCTATTTTAGATCCAGATTATGAAAATATTCGAAACTCACCTGACCGGAGCAAAAGCCATCCCAAGACCAATACTGAAAATCATATTAGGAACGAGTCCAAATGTCCAATCATGTCCAAGCCAACTACAATGTGAGCTAATGGGGCAGGCCAACTCATAGCTCATCAAATGATTGGAATCGTGGGATTAACGGGCTACCAAAATGTCAACCCAACACACTAATTGGGCAGGCTAGCATGTAAGAAAAATACTTTCACCTTGTAGAATAATTTTATTAAAGATAAGTGAATTTCCTATGTTGTTTAACCAATAGGCACAATTACAGAGTACATGAGTTAACTCAAAATAAATAACATGTCCAGACATCTGTTCATCTTTTTCCTTTTTTCCCGCAAATACATTTGTTCAGAACCAGAGCAATCCCCAGATAGAGTATGCGGGAACAAGAATATAGGAAGAGAAAGAAGACTTCTAACCTGCATCAATTAATAATCTATCCCCAAATCTAAAGCAAAAAAAGTGATGGACCATGTCAGCTGCAGATGCAAAATCCTCTTAAGTTAGTTGTCTTCATCGTGTGGGGCATTTTACAAAATCTTCATATTGTGATGATAATAATATGTGCAGCTTCGCCAATGGAGATGCATCCCTTCCATAGCATCTTCCTCAAATCACACGCTTACCACTCCCGCCATCCATGGAACTATTAATGGGGCTTTTGGATGAGCGTTTCTGTAAGACTCGGAATAACGGTCCTTGAAGGTCAAACTTGGTTTCTCTGACTGCATTGTAATTAAGAAAAAAATCAGAAATAGTTGAAATAAATTCTGATTAGAGTTTGTTTGGTACAAGTTTTTGTTTATCAGCCATTGTCTTTTACCGGGGGGGAAGGTATATGGAGGGATTATTTTGGCTGGAATGCCTGGAATTGATACTTTTACCAGCATTTTATATCTTACACTTTTTTAAATATTTTTATATATTTTGTTTTGACAATTCAACCGGATACTTAAAAAATGACAATTCAACCCTTTGAGTCACTTCAGCAATTTCAGCATAATCAGCCACCACAGAGATCAGTCATTTTATGAGGCCATTTGAATGAGGGTTATTTGGCTGAATCGGCTGAAAGGAATAGCTGAATAGCGTTTGGAAAAAATGACTTCAATAAATAGGCCAAATGCTACTCATTTACTAATTTTGCTGATCAGAAGAGAACAAACTGAGTGATGCTACCAAGCGGGGCTGAGATTCTACCAGACAGGCTCTAAAGTTCAGCCACTCCACACATTTAATGTTTTGCCAAACAGACTCTTAATTACAAGATACTAAAACCATGAGAAAGACTTACATATTTCAACCAGCACTCCTGGTGTTTGTGTTCATAAATATCAGGGGAGTAGCATCCCGTTTCTGATGGGCAGTAAACCCATATATTGCATTTCTTATCACCCGGTTTAGCACGTCTGGACTGATCCAAACAAGCCATACAACAGTCATAAGCAGATTCTTTATGGTGCGTAAGACCCCATCTGACAGCAACTCCACCATAGTCTGTATGAAGCTCATGATGGCATTCGGGAGGAAGTCGCTTGCCAGCAATAATTTCAGTTTCTGATTAACAAATGCCCATCCGGTTAATGAATGACGAAATACCTCATAATCCAAGAAAACATAGATTCAAAGCATTTTTCTATGTTCCTTTACAGCTTGTTTGATTCGGGTAATTTCAGAGGGGAGGGGAGGAAGGGGGTCATTTTTATTTTTAAATTAGTTTGTACATTTAGATGATTAAAAATAAAGTGCGGATAAAAGACTGTATAGAAACACATGATCTAACTACTCAAATATTTATTTGTAGTCTAGAGCTGATACATAAAGATAAATTAGTAAAACAAATATCAATCCACCTCTCTGCTTCCCTCCAGAATCCCAAACCAAACAAGTCTTAAGGGAACGTTTGGAACACCGAAATGCTTGGGGGGGTAGGCAGGAAAATATAGGAGATATTTGGAAGGGAAGAAAATGTCGAGGAGAACAAATATTGGTTTAAGATCAATAAACTTAGGTTTCATATTTGTTTGAATTAATTTTATTTATTTATATGTGAAATACAAATACTAAGAAATATAAGGATATTCTTAGTTTGGTAAAAGGAAAAGGGTGGGATTTTGTAGAAGTGGAATGAGATGCTTCTAGGGCGATCTCGAAAATCTTAAATAGGACAAGTGAGTCTCTAGCAGGGGTAATTGCGGGTGATAATAGAGAGTTACGAGCTTGTTTTACCGAAATTTCGTTTTCTCATGTTAAACGATCAAGACGTGTGTTGTATGTCTGGTTGTATTTCTTGGTGCGAGTCTCCTCCTAGCTTTACTTTACATGTATTGAACAATGATGCTATTAATGATAATTAAATTTTCTTCTTTCAAAAAAAAGAAATATAAGGATATGAACAAAAAAACTTAAAAGTTTAATTATATCTCACTTTCCTTCGCATAACATTTGCTTCCATTTTTCCATTGTCTAGCATTTTATGATATCCAATCGTGGACGAAAATGGCAAGGAAAGCACATAGGAAGGAGAATAGAGGTAACTTTAGGAGAAAATGAAATTTGGAGAAACTTAATAAATCAATTGTGTTCAAACTCTTTTTATTTATACATTTCTAGTAAAAGACTAAGAAATACAAATAAATGTGAAACCGTTAAAAGCTCATAATCAAATTTGTTTTTTCCTTGAACCCTGAGGTAAACCTGAATAAAAAAAACTAATATAGCTTTTTTTTGTTGAAATATTGCTATGTTTAGTCCATGATATTCTCATGGGGTTATATTAGACGCCTGTGTGATCCAAAAATAAAAAGAAACAAAAAAGAACATTTGGAGTGGATAAGGAGATGGAAGGAATATCAATACCGAATTCCTCCCCTTCGGGCTTGTCATTATGCTCCATATGAATGACCTCAACAGGGATCCAGAGACCAATTTCCTCTAATAAATCAAGCCAACCGGCATCTAAAGCCCATGCTAGCACACCTGAAAAGAGGGAATACTCTTAGATATGTATGTATGCCAAAAAGACACGGACAAAAAACTCCAAATTGGGTCCTCATCACAAATAATTTAAAAGGTGACAATAACAGTCCATTTGAGAAGAGTTCCTTTTGTGTGGCTTAACTGGAAGTATTATTAGGTAACATTATTCCAACAAAGTAAGGACAAAAAACACCACACTGCATCCTCAAAAACAAACGACAACATCCAAGCCTTAATCCCAAAAGAGTTTGGGGTCAGCTAACATGAATCGACATATGAAATTGGAGTACCACATTGCATCCTCATGGAAAATATTTTAAAAGGTGAAAAAATGGCCCATTTGGTAAGAGTTCTTTTTTGTGTGTGACTATATCGGGTGAATTTTTGGAAAGAGAAAGGATTTAGTGAAATCCATTTCAACCAAATAAGTCAAAAGCTGCTTATTCTGCTGAACAAGCTGGATAAGGCTTCCAAACGAAGCCGAAATCTCATTCAAATAAATGTGCAAAATTATGGTTGGAATTGGAAGATAGAAGAGAATTACTGGCTTCTTTTGATGCAATATTTGCTGTTGATGCTCTCCCAAGAATGACTTGATTGACTTCTTTTAGCTTGGCCATGCGCCAGCTTTCAACCGCCTCTGTGCACCCAAAAAACATGCCAAGCGTATAAATAATACTCTGTATTCCATAATACAATTCAAATATTAAAAAAAACATGATGATCATGATCTGAGAGTTACTAGATGGTATGTATCAACTTCCCCAAGGGATGGACGGAATGTGGCAAAGAGAAATTAGAAGGCATGAGTAATTAATGCATGAGGTGAACAAAGGCCTTGCACGGAAACAAACACTTTAGGGGGGAGGGGGGTGAGAAGAAATTTGCAATTTAATAATAGGACCTATAAAATGATTTTATGACATCTTTAATTTGGGGATTCAGGAAGGAAGAGAATGGGAGGATTGATTTTTATTTTATTGATTTATATCTACTTGTTAGTTTTAAACTGAAAAGAACTCTGTGATTAGTCAAATCATGTATCTCTATATAGTTTTATCTTTCCACTTTACTTTTGACCAGCTAAGTGCAGAAATTATGTCAATCCTCCTCTCCAAAGAACAATTGAATATACAAATTACATGTGAAAGATTTTACAAGATCATTTAAAATGTATTTTAGAAAATTGGTAGCGTTTTTGGATAGGAGGAAATATGAAGGGAAAGAGAAAGGTGTCAGCTTGTTTCTTCTTCTTATCCAAAAACCAATTTTTCTACTCATTTGAAAACTACACTAGTGTGTCGATTGCATTCGCTCAAATTCATAGCATAAAGCATCCATTTTAACTGCAGTCATCATACATAAAGTAAGAAACATATATATATATATATATATATATATATATATATATATATATATATATTCAATAATTATTTTAAGAATCAAGCATAAAAATTAAATATATTTAGAATCGAAAGCAGGCAGTCATGTTCACGCTTCAAGAAGATTATCAGTCACTTGGAAATGAAAGTGCACACTTACCTCTCTGCACAGAGGCATTTGTGTTGCCATTCAAGCTTCTTAAAATTGCCAGTATCTCATCTGTTATCTTAAGTTTCAGGGATTGGGGTATTTCCACAGCCTTTTCTTCCGTTAAAAATCCCTTCTTTAACTGGCTTACCTTCAGAGGAACACAGATATAGCAGCCTCTTTCAATAAATTGCTCAAAAAAATATCCTAAAATATACATCATCATTAACCATGTATTAATGTTATGGCACACATATAACAAAAATCCCAAAATTTACCAGTTTAATAAGCTCTTTAGGTTCTGATTCCTTTCTTATTCGAGTAGATTCTTCCATTTTCCTAATCTGATCTGGGGTATACCTAAAAGCTGCAAATGGTGATTCATACAATAATGTCCAATATCAAGCCGCCCGGAAGAAAAGAAAGATTCACTGAACTTAAAGGATAAAAAAGCACCAGAAGGGAGTAGAAAGAAACCAGTTTGGGAATCATTGTAGGAATAGAAGTAGAGAGAATTGAAGAGAGAGTGAAGGACATAGAGTGCAACAGCGACATTGATCGAGCAGACGATGATTGTGGTTCGCTTGTAAGAACACCATCTCCCTCTATTCCCACCAAAAGCCCATTCTCCTCTTGCCATCTCCCGCCGCCGCCCTCAGCTCCTCATGCTGAATCGCCTCCATCCCATCATTCTATCTTCAAACACAGTTGAATAGAGTAAGAAACGAGATTGGATAAACAAATACTCTGCAACAAATTGAACACTCAATGTTGACGATGGATTTGCGATGCACGGATCGATCGGTAGGACAGGTATATCAGTATCAAGCAATTAAAGGTAGTCGCTTTTCTTCTTTTTGGATATAAAAATTAGACGATACTCGTATTAAAGTTAAAAATGGTTCTTGGGTGGGTCGAACAAGGCTGGGATAACTCTACATAGTTAAGAAAGTACGATTTCTTTTGAATAGTTGCGACTTAGGACGCTTGATCCAAGAACCATTTATTTTAAGTTTTTAATCCATATGAGATTGATTTGAGTTCCAATAAAGATCCAATTTGGTTTGCACAATTCGTAGGGTATGTTTGGCACAACTAGCTAAAAAGATACTTTTACGAGTTTTTTAGTAACTGTTAGCTTTTAGTGACTGAAAAGATCTTAAAAAGAAAAGGTGATAGCTGTTTGGTAAAAAGCTGACTGTTTGATTTAGTTCGGTTTGTTATACAAGCTGTTAGGACTAATTTAAACTAAAAGTCACGAGCTTTTCTCAGATGCTACACCTGGTAGCATCTCAAAAAAGATCTTTTAATTTTTGAAAAGCTCTTAAAAAATGTCATGCCAAACATACAACTAGAGTCTTTTAAGGTCTTTTTAAAGAATAGAGAAGCTAGAAGCTAGAGTCTTTTGTGTGCCAAACATAGCCGTAAGCTTGACTAGATTAACCAACAATATTCATAAGATATTATTTTCTTCTTCTTATGAAAGCAAAAAAGCACGTGGATTAATATCATTAACATTCAGATCATAACAACAAATTCAAGATAACCAACATTGACAACAACTATCCGTAATCAACTAGCATTGTCAACCATACGACTACTTATAAACGGTTACTTTTGAAATAACAATATGAATCGCTAACCACCAAGCGGGTGTGAGATAACAATCACTGGACATATAGATCCTTCTAACAAATATAACGTAAAAATAAGACCACAAAAAATAAAATAACTGAATTACAAATGCCATAAGAAGATATCACCGCCGATTTTGCGTTGTCGAGTCCCTTAAGCGCCTTGACAAGGTCGCCACATCGATTTTAATGGATTGCTTCTTGCCTTCGTAGACCCCTAGTTCCTCTCTGAGGGTAGGCTGAAGAAGATACAAGGAGGTGGTGTGAGGTGAAGAAGAAGGAAGGGGAGGGTGGGGAGAGAATGAAAGAGATATAAAAAGAACAAGAAAAGTAGTAAAAATTGGCATGTGTACATCCATGTGTGCCATATGAACGGCAAATCAAGAATTCGTCAATTAATTTCATCAACTATGGGGAATACTCATTGTGACAAAAAAGTAGGGAAGATGAGGGGAGGAGGAGAAAATTTGAAAAAATAATAACGAGTTGCTAGGGGGGAACACATTTTTTTTAAAATACAGAATTAAAGTGAACAATAATTCGAAAAGGGAGATAGAATAAAAGGGGGGAAGAAGATAAAGGAAAAACTGTTGAAAGGAAGCTACACGAAAACTTTTGTGATAGGGTGGAACATGAATGCCTAAATAAGGAAAATAAATAAAATAAGAATAAGATGAGAATGGAAAAAAGTGTTGAGGTGATAAAACAAAGAGAGAAAACTTAAATTATAGGAGTATGAAAAAAGAAGATAATGATATATGAGACTTTTTTAGAAATGAGAGGAAGCTTGAAATGTGAGATTATGTGTTTAATAGTTGCAAAGAAAAGACAAAAATGTGTAACATTTAATCATCAACTGATTAGAGAACAATGCAAGCAGATGAGACACAAAGGTAATATTATCTCATACCCGAGTATTATGTTTAGGTGGGATTACAGAGAAAAAACCGGTGAAAATGAAATGTTGTTAGTGTTATCGATTTTTCCTTTTGTTTGTGCACGATCTTGTTTAATAAACGTGGTTTGATTTAGCATGAGGTGACTAATACTCGGGCTAGTTTCGTCCAAACTAATTTGTAAGTTTAAATCTTGTTGGTGCAAATTTGACATGCTTTGTTTGGTATGGTTTCATAAGTTTAAATGAGCATGTCCTAAAACATATTCCAACAAAGAATTCACGGTTGATTTTAAACACATGTAGCACACGAATAAGGGTTATAAGCGAGGCTCAAATATAAATGTTACGGAGTATAACCTTTTTCCATGGAAAGAGAAAATTTAGTTCATTAATATATGCCCGCAAACTATTAAAACATTGTAGACATAAATAACACGCCAAAATAGAAATGAAAAGGTCTTGTCATACATGATCCAAATTATTGTCTCTATAACAAGGGCACAAGGCGGGGTCCTATCTTTATGGTTTCAAACTTTTCAATCTTCCCTTGTATTTATAAACTTGTTTTGTCTTAACTCTAAGGACATGTTTACTTCGGTAGCTAATAAACAATGCTTATTAAAAATTGTGTTAGCAAGCCATTTTTAATAAGCAGCGTACAATAAACATAGTTTTATTTCAATATGATGTCTTGCTTGTTAAGGAAAATATATGTTTACTTCAACAGGGTTAAGATATCTATTAATTGTGAATGGTCAAAAATAACCTTGACCTTAAATAATAAAAACCCTAGAAGCCTTCGTCATTGTACATCATCCCTTCGTCGTTGTACATAATAAAAACTCCGTGGTTTTCAATTGCAAAGGTACGAACATGGAGCCATGAGCAAATAATAGGTGAACTCACAAAATCATAGCTCTATTTTGTAATTCATTATTTCGTGTTTTAGTGGATTTTGAACACACAGTTCGATCTCTTTAGTTCAATAATGGAGAGCAGATTTTTTGGATGGATTCATAATTACTTTTTATTTGATGTTGTTAGATGGGTTCACTTCCAGCTCAGGTCTCAATTTATCACCCACAAAGGATGCTAAATACCACTAGGATCTCAAGGGGAAAAGATGGGCAACAACCATCAACCAATTCCGGCCAAATCAGTCTGTTTCCGGCCAACCCAGTCAATGGGCGAAAATTGGGAGAAGAAGGGGGTTTCCCACAAAAAAAAACTCAATCGGCAGAGAGGAGAGATTAAATAGGTCAAGCACAATAACAAAGATGGTAAAGCTTACCATATTAGAGAGATACGCAGATGCTTGCATAAGGAAAGGGGAAGAGCCGATGTACCGAACACAGAAGCCGGAAGTATTCATCGCAAAGGGAAGCCGATGGAGAAATCAAAGGAATGGGCCGAGTACTCCAAATGAAATGAATTGGGCTAAAGGGAATTGGGGGCCAATACCAACACATTCTCCACCTTATTGGACCCTAGTGGCGTAGAGTCAAAAGACTCTAAAACATACATGAGACTCATCATCGCTGGATTGCCCGAATAATCACAAAGACATATTCAGGCAAAAGGGGTAAGATCACCAGGCAACTTATCCGCAATCAATGTTTAACGTGCGTTTGCACGACAGCAACTTTTCGACCGAGAGACATTTAGTCCCCATGTCAGCAGGATTAAATTCCGAAGGAATTTTAATCAACTTGATATGACCTGCACTAACAATATCACGTATAAAATGAAATCTAACATCAATGTGCTTAGTTCTATCATGAAAAACAGGGTTTTTACACAATTGAATAGCAGATTGACTATCAGAAAACACACAAATATCCTGCTTAAGGCTACCAATCTCCGTTAGGAGACGTTTAAGTCAAATGGCTTCCTTAAACGCTTCGGTAGCGGCCACATACTCCGACTCAGTGGTGGATAGGGCAACAATGGGTTGAAGTTGAGACTTCCAACTAATGCACGACCCACAAAGAGTAAACACATAAGAGGTAGTGGATTTCCTATTGTCTCTATCGTTAGCAAAATTCGAATCCACATACCCACTCAACTTAACCCCCTCAGAACACCTAGTGAAAACCAACCCATGATTAACAGAAGATTTCAAATACCTAAGCAACCACTTAAGAGCATTCCAATGATCTAAACCAGGATTAGACATATACCTACTCAAGCAACTAACAGCATAGGCAATGTCGGGTCTAGTACTCACCATGAGATACATCACGGACCCAATAGCATTGGAATAAGGCACAGATTTCATTTTAGCAATTTCAGGAGCAGTCTTAGGAGACTGATCCTTACTTAACACAAAGTGAGACGCCATCGGGATAGAAACGGGAGTAGCAGAATGCATGTTATATTTACTCAAAATCTTTTCAATGTATGAAATCTGATTGAGAACTAACACACGCTTACTCCTATCCCTAACAATGTTAATGCCTAGGATCCTTTTAGCATCACCTAGGTCTTTCATAGCAAAGTTCTCACTGAGACGCTTTTGCACACATTTAATGGCGTCACACGAAGGACTCACAATAAGCATATCATCCACATATAGCAATAAAAATACAGGCACAGAAGAAGTATTTTTAAAGTATAGGCAATGGTCGCATTCGGACTTGTGAAATTTCAAAGATGACATGCATTGGTCAAATTTGATATTCCACTGCCTCGGGGACTGCTTCAGGCCGTACAAGGCCTTCCTAAGCAAACACACATGATCACTCTTCATGGGATCCACAAAGCCCTCAGGCTGCGACATATAGATTTTCTTATCTAAATCACCATGCAAGAATGCAGTGGTGACGTCCATTTGCTTCATTTCCCAATCATTATGAGCAACAAGAGCGAGCATCATTCTAATCGTAGTAAATTTAACTACAGGAGCAAAGATTTCAGCATAATCAACACCTTCCTTTTGAGTAAATCCCTTAGCTACTAACCTAGCCTTATATCTAATGTCGTTAGGCTCTTCCTTAACCTTAAACAACCACTTACAGGCAACAACGGAACTATTGGGCGGTCTAGGAACTAACGTCCAAGTCTTATTCGCTCTAAGTGACTCCATCTCACTTTCCATGGCACAAAGCCATTTAGCGGACTCATTAGACTTAAGGGCCTCTCTATAGGTTCTAGGTTCGTTAAGCTCAAGGGTCTCAAACACAGAGAAAGCAAACATAGAAGTATCACACATATGGAAAGCATAATCAGGCATACTATCAGCAGTTCTCCTAATTACTCTCCTACTTCTATCTCTAGCAAGTTGATAATCATGCAAATCATTCTCACTAGCATCCGCACTCTCATCATGCGATTCATTGTCATTTGAATGCACATGAGATTGCTCCACCTCACTCGAAGTAGTGGTAGTATCATGCTCAGAAGAATCAGAATCATGCAATTCAGAAGAATTAGAATCATGCAAAACAACATTATCATGATTAGCAAACAAA